AACTGTCGATAAACATATTTGATATTTACATTTATCTATTTACAATTTTACAGGAAAATATTTAATGTTTTGTTTTTGAATTTTGGAAAACACAAAATAAAAGAAAAATCAACTTTAATACTATTTCGTTATTCCAAGTAAATTTATTCTATGAATTGCTGGAATTCTTTTGTAAATAGACGATGGGTATTATTTAATTTCGATTTATTGTCTAGGCACCATAAAGAGATAAATAATGCAACACTTACTTTAAATGCAACAGAAATAAATTTTTAATACAGGAGAAAAATTCCTTTATTTATATTTCATTGTTATTATTAATCTTTTAAAATTAACTAACGAATCAATATTGAATATTTTAATTTATTTAATCGCGCTTAGATCAGCTTTGCATATATGGAGTGTGATTTTAATGAGATAAAACTAAGAGAAAGGAATTACAATTCGCTTCAGAATTTTTAATAAATTATTTATATTAATACAATTTTGTCAACATTGTAATTATTGTTTACATTAATATATTTTTATATTAATTTTTTAGCAAAACACGATTAATACATTAAAATAATTTTGATGTACAGTAGAACCTCGATTATCCGGACTAATTGGGGATGAAGGTAGTCCGCATAAGGAAAAATCCGGATAATCGAAACAAATATTTTAATTTGTCTTTTAATGATAATACAACACGTTTTCTTTTCGATGACATATCGGTAATATTAAAAATAAATACTGTATTTAAATCGTGATAAAATTTTCAAGAAACAAACGTTCGTATTGAATTTGGACTACTACTGACCAGTGCTAACAGATTACCTATTGTTTAAAAGGTGGCGCAAGAAGACGGATTTTATAAAATAAAAAGCAGTTGAAACTGCATTTTAGGAGGTGGCCCAAGTTGCCCATACGCCGCCCTTGGTCATAGAAATGATGTAATTTGGATATAAATTATTTATAAATACGTATGTCAAATTATATTTTTATTACGACGCAAAATATATTTAAGAGTTTACGACCACTGTGCAGGGTGAGATGAAACGAAAAAAAGTTATGCATTCCATCACGTTCATAAACAGTATCGTAATTCGTCAAGTGCAAATTAGCAACTTCATATAATTTTTGTTTATTTTGAACAATCCGGATAATCGAAAATCCGGATAATAGAGGTCCGGATAATCGAGGTTCTACTGTATATGATTTATAAAATGCTTTCTTAGTACAATCAGAAATTATTCCAAAATTATAAATATACAGTTGTGATTTATTTTTAAAAACGAGTTTCAATCCATGATATCGTATAAAAGTATTCTATCTTAAATATAGATATGATAATAATTATGATAAATTCATCAATTTACCATAATTATTTCAGCTCTATTCATTAAAAATTCACCTAGTTCCAGAGCAATGTTTTGTTCTGCCATTGAATAATTGCTATTGGAAAAGTGACAATAATCAGATATTGAAATTCATTTAAACCAGAGTAATTTTTAAATTTTTTTTATAGATAACTGACTTCAATATGAGTCAAGGCAAACGCAAAGTTAAAAATCCAGAAAGGAGTTGCATAACTTTCCCGGCAAAAAAGTTAAAAATGTGTTTGACATCATCTGTTATAAGATTTTATTAAAAATAAGTTTTGTATTATTAATTATTATAAAATAGTAAAAAGCTTCATTTTGAGAGTAGAGATGTGTTTTATTTTAAAAAATTGTAAATGCTAACAACGTAAAATCTTCGTTAAACTCGACTCCACTTGAGATACGACACGTGACTCCCTCTATCTCCCCATCACCTCGATCTTTAAACATCAAAATTTAATAGCATTAATTTCCCTAATACACAAACTTCCCCAAAATTTGCGGTCATTTTCAACAAAAGACACAGGAGTCATTAAGCTTCAAAGTGGATGAACAAAATCGTGCCCCCACACAAAAACATCAATCTACAGTATACAGGAAAAAATCCCAATGTTTTGCATTTCCTGTGATTCCAAAAAATGTAAAAAATCTAGGGGAGGTAATTTTTTGACCGATATCCTAACTTTCCCTCTGTTATATATAACAGTTAAGCAAATAAAACCTATTTCATTGTGGATGGCAAATACAGCCAATACAAAGTTGTCAATAAAACAGCTCGCCAAATCTATCATTAATCATTAATGAAAATTTCTAATAATTTTAGAAATAACTAAATTCAGAAAAAAACAAGAATAATTTGCTACAAAAATTATTAATACTATTATTAGTAAAAGTAACTTGTAGAGTAATTTGTTTTATTTACAGTATATGCATTCTTCTGAACTGTACCGTATAGTACATAAATCAATTTGTTTATACAAATGTATGGCAGCTTTGTTCCAAAATAGAAGGAAAATGATGAGTGAAAGCAAGACAATAGCCTTGAATAATAATCGGCTTGTTTTTTTCTTATTTCTTGCAAAACTCCTCTGGAGTTTCTCGTCATCATATCCGGAAAACGTGATTGGCAGATGAACAACCAGTAACAGAAAACAGATTCGTTAGGTCGAAGGAGCAGGAAAATACAGTTGAATATTATTAAATACAATATTTAAAATAAAAATTAAAACTATTTCTACGTGTGTAACCTTTATGTAGCTTTTACTTTTACGTGTATAATATTTAAAGTCAATTACTATGTTTAAAGGTTTGATAAAGGTTTATACATGTTTGATAAATATAAATTAATTTGCTTTTTTGTAAATTACGATCGAAAATGTAATTTATTTTATCGGTTAGGAAATCCTATCCAACAGCTTATCCACACAAACATACTGTTCAACGTTTACTAGAACATGTTGATTTGGACAATCTATTGCATACACAGTACATGCATCTTTTGATATCAATCTATAAGGATCAGATTAACACTAGTAGAGCTATATATTCTTATAAGTAACTTACAGAAACTTTATACAGTACTAATAATACTTTCTCTGAATCGCCCGAAAAATTTTTCCGACATATATTCGTTTAATTAATGATATTTAATTACTCTACTGTACTTACGATTGTCTTAGTATAAAATGTATCTGAGCATTTTTGAATATTCATTTTGAAGTTCTTCGTAAAAAACGCAATTACTTCTGGAAACTATTTCTTATTTTGGTTATCGATCTGTCAATCTCTGTGTGGAAATAACAAAATTTTATACTAGTTATTCTAGAAAATAGAGAGAAATGCTAGAATCTTCTGTTGTCTCATGGAATCATCTCTCTTCTATTTACGTTACGAAAAACTGCAATTGTGTTTTATCTCGATATAGTAAAACTTTGGAAGAAAAGAATTCGTAATACGAATGATGTTGTCAGATTGACTTCATTCAAAATAATATTGATCGTAACACAGTTACACTTGGTTACTAAAGAAATGTGAGCATACTGAATTTTATGTAACTTTATTAAAAGGCTATTTTTTATTATTCATCTTATATAAGCTTTTTCTAATAGTTGTTTACTTAATTGAAATTAATCTTAAATATGTGGCAATAAACGTATCGAAAAGTATTATATAAATCATAAATAAAAAATAAATTAGCTTCGACAACATAAATATTGAATTATCCGTAAATATCAATTGCTATCTAATATCTAATTCCATATGTTTAATTCTTTCTTTCGGTATTTTACCTATAATAAACATTTTTATATTGAAAATATGTTTGATCTAAGTGAATTGCAAATGGAATCGACTATTTACATGAATGTGAAAGGTAAGTCTATAAATTAAATGGTAACTGAATCAACTGAAATAGGGAATTTAAAGATAAAAAGATTGAATAAAAAATATTTTATAAATTTTTGCTGAGGAATTGGAAAGAATAAAATTTAAATAAATCGATATTTGAGAATAATGAATGTCGAATATATTTTTAAAGCTTTCTTCTATATATTAAAAGTATATATTTTTTTGTCTTCACTAAAATAAATTAAGCATTTTAATATTATCCATTTTTTCGAAAATAATGCATTTCTTTCTATCAAATATTAATAAAATTTTTCTTTAAACATTATTTTCCTCACTAAAAAATTTCAATATATAGGCTACATATTTGTGTCTGTGTAATGTTATTTTTTATGCATATTTTAATTTGAAATAACCTTTAATAAACAACGGAAATCATCTCAATATTTTATTATTTTTTAAAATTTTCATCTTGTATTGCTTCACAGAACAAATGCTGAGATGTATCTCTGTTAGGCTATATTTTTTCGTACTGTAATAAAGATTTAAAGTAAAATTAATACAGGAAATTGTTCCTTTGTTGGAAACGCAGGCTGTTCGTTATTTCCATAGGCAGAGTCTGGATTCGAATCTTGTTCAAGATTTTTCTCAGAAGTATCCTTATATAATTACAGTATATGACATTTAACGTAGAACAAGCCGGCTCAATGAACAATTACAACGAAAAAAGTAATCATTTTAATATTTAAGAATGCATTCAAATAAAATTTAAACCAATTTTTAATGCTAACTAATTGAAATTAATTTTGAACTGTAAACATTAAATAAAAGTTTGCTTTGTAGAAATGGTACAAATTTTAGGATTTTTGGCTTTTTCGCTAATCCTTGAGGACATTTTGAGCTAAGTCATATTTTCAAATCGTTCATTACAAGCGTAATTTACATAGAATTAAATGAGTCAACATTGATAAATTGTTTCAATTGTGAAAAAAAAAGGGAATTTCCATAACAAAATTCCTTATCCACTTGATAAAATAAATTTTAAGGAAAAACTATAACTGTAACTACTGTATATATTGTTTAGCGAATCTAACAATAGGATTTAAAAATTTTTAATGAAATAAGAAAATGATAAGCATTACCATTGAAATAACTTATAAATAGTATTGCTATAAAACTAATTTTCCCCTATAGGCTATATATATATATATATATATATATATTTAATAAAGAACTAGCAATAGAATTTTACTATCAATTATTTAATATTCATTGTTTTCTTATTTTATTTTTTAGAATATGGTATCAGTTTCAGTTTTAGGCGCCGCCACAGGTGTGGGTTTGGCGCTAGTCGTCAGTGTGACAGTCGTGCTCTATCGATATTACTCGCGCAATCGCAAATCTATGTACTCAGCGCCATCTTTTGGCCAAGGATGTAACGAGAAAAGCAAAGTGCTATTAAGAGAAGGTTGCGTCGCTATGTCGCTATCGCAGCAACAGGTAGGTGGATCGCTCTTTTCATTTTTTATTCCTGGCGGAGATGCATTTAAGTACGATCGTTATCACGTGAATCGTATAATAAATCGCCTCGTTACCGCTGTTAAACGTTCTTTTGTAGATAAATCTAGTTGTAGGTCGAAGGGTTCCACTTTGATACTCGAAATGATTAAACGGCCCAGACGTCCGGATAAACGACATTTTTGTACGGATTTCAAAATATTTATCGCGCATTTTTAAATGTCATTTTAAAATTACTTTCCCGTTCTCATTTATAAAAACTCTTTTATTTTTCTAAATAAATTTGTATCAATATATCATATATATATATATTTTTTTAATCCGATGACATTTAAGTTTTGTCAGATTTTACGAAAAACACTTTCCAATGTACAGTACAGTTCATTGATCGATTAATAATGGATGCAGTTGACTATGAATGAAGACATATATTTATTTATATTTTTATACTACAGTATTTTGTATACTCGTAATTTTAATGCATTTTAAAAAGGATTTTTAATGCTTTTAAATAGGAAAAACTAAATTGAAATCGAGTGTCGCCATCTGTACAAGTTTTCTTAAGTCGTAAGAAATTCTACAAGTGTGCACGGAGAATAAATATTTCGAAACTAATCTCGCGGGCTAATTTTTCGGGCGGGATTAATTTTGCGCAGGAAAATTAATCGAAGTATTGCGAGAGCCGTTATAACGGAAGAGAGATTCCCTCCTTTTCGGCGGTGGATGGACATTGCACTTGCGTCATAGGTCACGTGAATGTTAGTGACAAGATGGCTATACCTCTCCACTATAGCTTAGGGATGGCGAAATGGAAAGAAGTGGTGCTAAGGGTGAGTTTTTATCCAACGTAAACATCGTATTGATTTTTACGATCCGACAAAACGTTCTCGACAGGCAATCGGTTTAAGAGAAATTTTAAAAAGAACGACGTTCTCGTCATGTTCTTGACGTTCACCAATGGAGCCTTTTGCTCGAGCCAAAAGATTCGGACTGATTAAAAGAAAGAAAAAGATCGTATCAGCACCGCTTTATTTGTTACTAAAAACAGGGTATTGGATACATCGATTAGTTTAAATATATACATTTGAAAACGGAAAAGTCAAACATTTTCAGTCGATTAATTAATTGTCTATAAATACGTGTGTATAAATAAATTATAAACTGCTTTCGTTGCCGCGTTTAGATCATACGATAAAAATATTATTTTATTTGATTACCGCTAAGAGAATAGTCAATAAGCGGAATGCATAATAAGATAAAACAACGATGAGAAAATTACGGAGGATTCGGAATGTGAATATTAAATTGGAAAAAAGAAAGAAAGAAAAAGGCGGATAGAAAAGGAAAAGTAAAGTAAAATATTTAAAAAAAAAATCGACTTTTGACGTCGCGTACATCTGTCGATCTTTTTCGATGAAAAACGTATTTTTAGAATAGTTCTAAATACATTCTTTTCTAGCAATACAATGGCTTTGGACGGACCATTCCATCTGGAAATCGGTCCAACGGCGGACGGTTATTAACTATTTTTATGATATGATTTTACAGAACTTCAGCATCTTCCGAGAGCAACCGCAGAGAACGTCGCCGTCGGCTTCGGTCAACTGCCAGGCTTCTCCGCATCCCGAGAACGTCCACGTTCGCCTGTCGTTGCCGGACGTGCACGTGGCGGAAGAGGTGCCCTCGTCGCAGTCCAGTTATTCGCTGCCCACCGCCAGAAGAAGATCGCCCACCGTCAGTCGGGCTAGGTCCATGGACGCGAGAGCTATCCCGCGTCTCTCCATCTGCACTCGATCCGACAGTCAACAGTCGACCAATAACGAATTGCGCAGCCCTCTGTCTCCTCATCCGAGGACTCCGTCTCCCGATAACCTTTCGCCTTTTTCGGAAGCGGTGCTCAGACCTCCCTCTCCGGGCACTTCCGGCAGACCCAAGTCTCTTTCGCCTCTTTCTCCTCTTCTCTCGCCGGCCTTCTCTCTCCCCTCCGACTCCGGTGTTAGTCCGGGAGCCGCCAGTCCCCTGGGTGAGTTTACAATTAAAAAAATCTCGCGCTACTTACATTCGCCCGTACCAAATCGTCGTTAATCGTTAATCCTTTTAAACCGTGATCGCGTGTGAAATTCGCATCCGTCGACCGATCGGAAAATATTTCGAAAATCGAATATTTATCCGTCGATCGGACGAAAACGTCACGCGAAAGGTTATTTTTAATCGCGTATACTCCGTTTGTTCCGTTATCTAATTAGGAATGGAAAATAATTGTCGCTTGTTAATTTTGAAAATACTAATTGTACGGCTGGATTGCGCAACAGAACATTACTTACGGTTTATTCTCCTTTAAACTTTCGCAGCATTTTCTGATTAAATATTGTACAAATATTTGATCGTCTTTCTCGATCTTTAATATCTTTAAATCGCATTGGAGAATTTCAATTACAATAACGAATTACTGGATACCTAAGCGTTTCCATTCGTTTTAAAATGAATACAAATTGTCAATTAAAATATGAAGAAAAAAACATTTTTGGACATAATATTTTGCTATACCAAATCTTACGGGAATTGTATAAATATCGCACCTTGTTAATTTGTAGAAATGGCGGATGGCGTAGTAAACACGATTCGGACGAATTTTTTTTGTTTTTACCGTTACCTAAATGTTTTCGAACGTAATTATTTTCTAGGTGCAATTCAACCGGATTTATATAAAAAGAAAGACATGGTCTTCTTCCAATCGACGCCGGGTAATCGAGAGAAATCGAAGTGCGGACGACTCCACTACAAACTCAAATACGACTTCGATCGTTCCGACTTGATCATACACGTGATCGAAGGTCAGAAATGAATGAAAACGATTTGTTTTAAAATAATTGTATCTTTATATTCAGTCAGTCGTCAGTGTATTTAGAACTATAAGCTTTTTTATTTCTAGCGTTGGACTTGGGTATTCTGTCAGAGAACGGTTTTAACGATCCTTACGTCAAAGTGACAATGATACCCGAAGTAGATAATAAGCAGAGACAAACGGTTATCAGAAGAAATTCTACCGATCCTTATTTTGACGAAATTTTTAAATTTCCCGTTACTTACGACGAACTGGCCGACAGAACGCTCTTGCTGCAACTCTTCGATTACGATAGGTTTTCTCGCAATGATGTCACGGGAGAAGTAAGCATCCCTCTGGCGGACTTGGACGTGACTACGGAAATCGAGATATGGAGCGATTTAGACAAGAGGCAAAAAGTAAAGCGATCCTCTTTGAGTGTCGATTGATTTTTATTCGGTGCTTACGGTATTTTTATTTTACTTACAGGTTTCGACCGACCGTCCAGAAATTCTCTTGTCTCTCAATTATTTACCATCGGCGGGTCGCTTGACCGTAGTCGTTCTGAAGGCTTCGAACTTAGTCGCTCCCGGCTCTAAGGAAGTACCAGGTAATCGCTTCATCGCGTACAATAAACAGTTTTGTTAGGTGCTAATTTCTATCTATCTACAGATTCCTTCGTCAAAGTAAGTTTGTACGGCGAAAAGAAATCCAAGAAGAAAAAAACGTCGACAAAAAAGCACTGTAATAATCCTGTGTGGAACGAAGCCCTGTGTTTTGATATAGCCGAAGAGGAGCTAAAACATGGTCGATTGATAATTAACGTTCTCAATTGTCATCATGGAAACGGTGTTCCGGCTTTCGGGACTTGCGTCCTGGGTGTTAACGAAAACGGAACGGGTGCCGCCCATTGGAACGACATGCTGTGCAATCCGAGAAAATCTATTGCCATGTGGCATCCATTATATTTGTAAATGTGTCGTATTTTTTTTTATCCATGTCGTTTCTTCGTTCGTGGTTTAAGAGAATCGGTGGCCTTCTCGTTAGTTTTCGTCCGCTTGGCTTGCTCAATGATTAGACATCATTGGACGGCATTAAGTTATTTCGCGTTGTTTAACGGGTCATTTTTTTAAAAAAAAAGAAAAAAATCGAGTGTTTAAAAGCGGGTTGAGTCCAAAACACATCCGATACAAAGTATCATTTAGCTTATTAATTACTATTTTTTCGGTGCACATTTATAATGAATTTCGAGTATTTTATTTATATTTAATTATTTTGGAGATTTCGCCGAAGAAACTTTGTTAGGTCATTACTCGGAGTGGTTTTTTATGAAAGATCTCGTTTTGAAAAAGCATACTGCATTTACAATATCTTTTATAAAATATAATAAAAGAAATTAGCAATTTTTCGTAATATTTTATATACATATAAAGATATTAAGAAGCGGAATTGATGGTTTTAATCATAAATATGTTTCAATTATAATTTAATTTTAGTGTAATCTTAAGATGCATTTTCGCTGTTCATTTTCTATAGTATAATATCGACTATGTATTTGTTTGTTCGTTTGAATTGAGACATTATTGCTTTAAACGTCATATGGATTAATCAGTTTGAATCATGAAAGAATTTCGTATTTATGGTGTCAAATCAAGAGGAGTTTTAACATTGTTGTGTTAAATTTTTTATATTTTAAAAAATATTCGTATTATTTACCCCGAATCGAACATATTTGTAACCTATGAATGAACCCATCCTACGTGTTTTATTTTTTTTTAGTTTTTCCTTTTAATATCCTCATATCTTGCACCGCTCTCCCAGAAATAATTTATATATAAATATATACCATGGCATATACACACATAACCTTTGATAATATCGGGTATTCTTAATTTCCCTAAATTTTGTACTTAAATTGTTGTACAAATGCACTGTTAAAAAATATAGATGTTTATATTATAAATGTATAAATGAACGAATGTGAATGGAAAAATGACAAAACATGTTATTGAATTTGCAATGTATGTCGTGTAAATAAAAAAAAAACGTGTAAATAAATTATATCAAGGGATTTTTATAATGTTTGTTTGTAATTTATTTATACTTTCTAAGAAACGATCTCAAAAAATTATAAAGACGAATCATTTCGTATTTCTTACATAAAAACTAAAAATATTTAATCAACTAACACAAGCCCTAAAATTGTAATGCCAGATAATATAAAAGTAGATCTATTCTGGATAATAAATAGTCAATCTTTGGATTTTTTTCACTGAAAATTTCCACTTAACAGCAATATCGAACAATTTGACTTGTTTTGACAGCATATTTTAATTCATAAATAGACACAACACCAGTCAAACTAGTAGAAATATTTTAATCTCGAGTACTTACGATCTTAGATCAATCTTTCGAAGAAAGTACTGTACTTAAATTTAAAATATTTTTGATGGTTTGAAAGATGATGTGTCTATTGTAAACTAAGTAATCACTTAAGGATTTTCCGTTATATATTTATATTTTAATTCGTTATACAAATATAATTAGATTCAATATATATGATATAAATATATATAAATATTTGTTATTTACACAATACACTTTTATATATAAGGGTATATATAAAGATGATGACAAAATGAATTCGAATAAACTAATGTCAAATATATTATTTTTATCTTAAATATTATGTGATAAATTCTGATTAGTCACATACAGAAACGGAATAAGGCAGATTTACACGCTAAGTAACATTTTAAAATGTTTACTGTTTGTTTTATTATAAAATAATATTAAATAACCAATATTTTATTTTATGATATTAGATTTTTTTGTCGTAAAGAAAAACAAAAATTTCCGAACGTTCGTTTTAAGGCATTTTACGTTAACAATAGTAAAGCGAAAGTCGGTGGAAAATAAAGATCGCGTGACGTTAAACGCTAGGCGAATCTTTAAATAATACTTCCTTATTAAATCCTAAATGTAAAAGCCTCATTATTCACTTCTCGCCTTCCGATTAATCAAACGAACCAATAAGCGAAAGACAATTACCGTGACGTAACTAATATCGATCGGAAATCGTTGCCAATGGATATTTGCCAATGCTATGATAGATGACGTATTAATATTTGTTTATTAAGCATAATCTTTCGATTGGAATTTATAAAGATTATTAAACGTTCGTCGCCGGATATTAATTTTCGTTACTTTTATTAATATGTCAAAGGTTAAGAGGAAGAAAAACGTCACATGACCGATGACGTCATCTGGCATTGGCCGTATTCTCCCGCGTCGAATGACGCCATGTTGTATGGAGTGAAAAGCCGGTTCGTTAGTGGCAGAGTGACGATGACGACGTTTTTCGATGTTGTGAGTTTAAAAAGAGAATAACATGCTCTGCGTGTAAACTGGACCATCTAGAAAGGGCAGGTAAGTCGCCTTTTAGATTTTTTAGCATGCCGCATGTTACAGATTATAACTGTTTGCGCATTCGGCTCAGTTTTTGACCCAATTTCTATACGTTGCATATTTGTTTTTTATTGCTATTTCATCGTCCCGTCGATTTCGCTTAGATATACAGTCGAAAATTAGCGCTGACGTCATCCTTAGTCACGTGTCGTTAAAAGTCTTAACAGTAGTGGTTATAACGCGGCTGATATCAGGGCTATGATGTCATCCCCATACGTTCGTGCATCGAAAACACCACAAGTATTACGCTCAAGGAGCCTGTAAAAGGTGCATTTCCGCACGATTTCCGAAGCTAAAGGAAAAGCCAGAACTAGCAATTAAATCGATAGATAAATATTCATAAATTTATCTGTAATTATCTGTCTGAATTAATTAATATCTAACCATGTTTAATAATATCATATGTGGCACATAACTTCGGGGTATTTATGCATAATGCTAAGCTTCGCCATTAGGTTTGATAATTTCACATATTAAATTTAATTTTTATTCTGTTTTATGTCCTTTTCGTTGTATATTGTAAATTATTCATTTATAATTAAATTTTGCCACGTGTTCGTGATTAATGTCTGATGGATTTTGATAACAGTGTCATTAAAGATTTTTGACCCTGAAGATTAACTTATACGTTAACTTATTTGTTTGTATTTTAATGTACGATGAGAATTTAATGATGTTTATTCGTTGTAGTCTCAATCTTTTAATGATTATGTAATCATAATTAACAGTTTTTTTTACTAAATCGAACAATCATAATCTGATTTTACATTATGTCGAATGTTTTTGTGTTTTCAGTATTTATCTACTTGTATTATAATCCTAACGACAGTGATTTTTCTCCTTCCGTCTTCTGAGATTCTCTACTATTTACAAGATCATCCCTCAGGGCACACGAGTTTCTCTACTCTCTAGAGAAATGTCACATGTAACTCTTATAGAATGCCGTCATATAATATTTGTCATGCTATTTTGTTAGGTAGTTGGGTGCTATTAATAATATCGAATTCTACTCCAGTAGGAAAGTTTATTCATTCAAACGTTTATATACTTTCCCTTTCGTCTATGCCGACTTAATGATGATCATTATTGACGTGTTGACCTTTATGGATCGGGCTCACAAGTACAATAACAAAAATCGTTAAAACTACGATGGTCTTGTTCTAACGTGCTGAAAAAAGCATTAAAAATGTTATTTGTACGTAGATTTTTCTGTAAATTCGATGTCTGTAGCCAACTAATTTTCATCTTTCTTCTATGCCAAATTTTGTTATCGTTTGATTTGTTTCCCTGTTTTTTTTATTTTATTTATTTATTTATTTTTACTGAATTACTGCCAAATTTTATTAAAATATATTTCAGATACATTCTATACAAGAAGTAATTTATAAATTTACGAAAAAGCAAATAAAATTTGAGCAAATTTTACATACAATACAAAAATTTCTATTGCCGAAAATATAATTTGCTTTTATGAGAAATATATGTTTAAATCTGAAGAATAAAAAGCAGTTATAAATTAAGACCTGCTTTTTATTCCGTAACTTTTACAGATTGTAATTTTCTAAGTTATTAAATTTTATGAATTAATACATCGCGTGATTAATACATATTAAAGATAACTATTATTCAAACATAAAGAGCAAATATTAATTGACTTATTATGTAAATAAAACAAATTTATAAATAAACTTTTTCTTTTATCTTTAAGGTCGAGAAACTTCAAAAATATATATATCACTTAAAAGATGAGTGACTGGGCAGTAGCTCTTGCTTTGATTAGTATCAGTATATTAGTTACAGCCATATTATTAGGTCTGTGTCGTCTTCTTGGTGGCTGGACATGGTTGAGAGCTTGGTTTACTGGAAACAGAGAAGAAACAGCATCATTAACTAAAGGTGGACAATACAGCGCTAACGGGTATATGGTTAGTATATTATATAAAATTAAAGTATTTGAGATATTATCGAACTGAATTACCTCTCTTTATATTTTTAGATGAATTCCGAATCCGACATTGCCTTAGATTTAAGTGGAAATTATCGACATTACGATAATGTGGCTAACGACATGAAATTCATTCAAGAAGAGAAGTTTACTATAGAAGCACTTCCAACAAAGGAACAAATACAACCCAAAGAACCAGAAAATGGCTATTCTGCTCCAAATAGTGATCTGCCAGATGCCTTACGTAATTATTTTTTTAACTTTAAAGCATGAAATCGCTAAATTTCAAAATAACTAAAGCAAGTTTTAGATGTTCTGTGAACAAAAAGTAATTTAATAATTGTTCGGATGGCCAAGATCATCTTGACGTTTGAAAAATGGATAACGCAATGCCGAATTAAGAAGTTCCCTTATTTTTAAAACGATTCAGTTTAGAAAATGTTTGATGTTTTTAATAAGAACCGGAGTAAAAACAAAAAAAAATTTTAAATAATTCGACCATATGGAAAATAAAAAATCGTTATGGCGTTCATACGTATTACGTAATATGAAGCTATAAAACTTAAAAATCTCATTACCTAAAACATTAATGATCTATTACTCGATAATTAAATAAGATTTTTTTTTATATTTAAATTAACCCGATTTAATAAAATTATCGAATTCAGACTAGAAGTTATCCGCTCTGATGATCACATCTACGCATGCGTTCTGTCTGTTCATTTGCGAGATTTTAATTAAAAGAAAGTTTAAAACAGAAATATTTAATTACGAATTATAATTATTAATGCTAATTAAAAACATCGTTTGACTTTCTTGGAAATTTAAACATTTTTTTTTCTTTTTTATGAATAAATTAATTTTCTTCATTTCTAATTAATATAATGACAGAAAATTTGCATCTGATTTTAACTATACACAGTAGCGTAATGATTATAATTTAAAATTTATTTATTTAAATACTTGTTTGCAGTCTTTGATACAACTTCCACATCACCTCTCCAACGCGCCCTTTCTTGTGACAGTGTTTGTTCTGATACATCGGTCGTCTTAGAAACCCTAGAAGTCCCCCGAAACAACGGAGAATTAGAAATCGGGTTGGAATATGATAAGTAATTATTTATTTATTTCCTATTCTATTCTTTTTTTCATTGATATTTTAGATAATATCCATAACACAACTATAAACAAAGACTTGACTGATTATACATTACAGACTTTAAAACATTAGTAAAAAATCTAGTAACGAGTTGCTTGACTTTTCCAGCTGTTATGAGATTTTATTTAAAAATCACTTTTTAATTATTAATCATAAATAAATAAAATTATATGTGGCGCCATCTATTATGAGATTTTGTTATAAAAGCTTTATATGTTTTGAATTATTATAAAATAGCAAAGGATTTAATTTTTAATTTTGAAGGTAGAGATGCGTTTTATAAAGATCTGTTATTCCTAATAATAATTACAATCTTCATTAAGCCCAACCCCACGCGAGATATGACACATGACCACTCTCTCCCCTCCCCTCTACCTTTCATTACCAAAATTTAATAGCATCAATGCCCCATATACAAAGCTATCATGTCAAATTTTGTTTCTTAATCTTCATTCCACTCTGAGGTACTAAACGAAATATACGCCAACACACATACACACACGCATATTTCCACGGAATTTTTTCGCCTTGGGGGTTCAGGGGCTCAAAACGTAGAGATTTGCAAAAAAGTCGGAGAGTCAAAGTTGACACGATTCCAGTACTTTCCTTTGTTATGTATACATAACCGTTGGGAAAGTAAAAGCCAAAGATTCGCCCATATTCATCAATATATACAAGCCTCATTTCTTTTCTATCATATTCTACATACAACTACAAAATTTAGCAAAGAATCGTGCCAATTAGGATTATCTTTCCTACATCGTTTTGCTGTCTGATTAGATTTTTCTCTCCATTAGAAATTTATTTTATGTTACAAATGACAAAAAAACATATCACAGAAAATGTATTTGTAGCAATGTCTATTGTGATTTTTATTTTAATTGATGTAAAACTTTTTAAAACGAAATTCTACATAATTGATAATGAATAGATGATTTATGTGGATAGTTATATTGCATTTTTTATATTTTTATATATAATATCAAATATTAAGAAGAAAAAGTAAGTAATAAATAAATTATTTTAATTCAGAACAACTTTGACATTTTATTTTACGGATTACCTTTATATATACATATATATTTAATACTGTATAAGCAAAAATATATTAACTAGAAAACGAATATTAGGCTAATACATATCTTTGCTTTTAATTGCCTTATTTTCACATTAGGTCGTGTCACGTTAAGAAATTGAATTCAGAATAAAACTTTATGATTTCCAAGCCAGATATTTATTTATTTATTTATTAAGATTTAGCGCATAAAATTCTTTTCTCGTTTTATCATCTTGATAATAAAAATATTAATAAGCATGAATTAATTGTAAAATTAGAAATACTGTAGTTGATAGAGATAGTGTTATAAATAACGCAACAAGATAATAATTTTCTTACTTTTATCAGAAAAATAATTTATTATATTTTTATATCCGGTTCTATTCTTTGCCAAATCTCATTTTTTCTGTTTATTGTTTGTATTTGAAACGTCGCGCCAATGCGCATTCCTCCAAATCGATAATTCTTGAACTTTTTATTTTGGAACTATATTTGATAATAAAAAAGTTTTGCATGTTGTTTAGTAAAATATTAATAAATTCATAGAAAAGATGTGATATTAAAATGAAAGTTTGATTACGAATGCACTAATTTTTGTTTAACATAGATTACTTCATTCTGCAACATATCGTCAAGCAGATTTATGTGAATTACTGCTTTTTGGATTACTCTTTGAAAATTGCATCTTTAAACAATTATCATTTTATTTATAAACGAAGGAAACTCTAGAAAGTAGTTTCTTTGTGTGTAAAAATCAAAATAATATTATGATTCTTTACTATGATTATAAATGATAAAAAATACTCGTATATTTAAAAATTATGTAACTTTTTCTATTGATATGTTAGTTTTTAAATTGCTATTGAATAGAATATATTGTATATACTGTCTATGGAAATTACTTGACAAGCATTACGTATCATTTCATTTACATTTTATCATCTGCTTCTGATTCTCTAGGCTGAATACACATGGAAATAATAAATAATTTGTAATTAAATAAACGTATTGTTTAATTATATATATATATTGGTTAATTATAAAGATATTAAATTGTTTAACTATATATATTTAATGTATAATTGTTTATTTACATTTAGTTTCATTTTAGTTATTGTTATATATTAAATTGCTTAATTACTGAGAATATGTTTAAAAATTTAATTTAAGTTTTAAACAAATTATAATTAAAACAAAATTTTGTATAATCTAATTTTCTCCTTGCTTTTAATAAGATAATTAATAAACTTTTTCTTTAAATTTATAAAATGTCTTTCAGTTGAGAAGTCAGTTGACATTTTTCTTGGAATTTTATATTAAAAAACTTTTTAGTAAAGAAATATTTGGATCTACAAAGTTCACAATTTTTCATTTAACAATTATCATTTTATTGATATTAGAAAATAGATTGGGGTATTCGTAAGAATTCGAAGAGTTTTCTAATTATATTCTAATTGTATAATATGAAAGAATTAAATTTATATTTTGTCTCTTCGATTGATTTTCTAGATCCGAGTTTCTCAAACGTTTTGCTCACGCGACCCAATGTATTTGTAATGGTTTCGCAACCTAAATGCTTATTATATAAAAATTTTTAAAAATCTGTTAAACTGGAGCACCGTATATTATGCAACAAAATAAAATCATACATTAATTGATAATAACATCCACATGTGAAATGTAACATTAAGTACATTTCTACTAAGAACAGTTTATGCCAATTTCGATTTGTAACAAATAACTGTAACAATAACTTACTTTAATTTCAGTTTTTATTATTAAAATTTAACTGTTAAAAACGTATGACTGACGATGGAGTCTATTTTGAAAAATATTACAAGCTTTTTTTTTTATAAAGTTAATAAATCTTTTTTAAAATATATTTTTCTGATTGGAAGAGTAATTTGTTAATTTCATTCTGTATACACAGGAAAAGATTATTTATTGATCCACTTGTGCCAAAATCATTCGATATTTATTTTTTTAAATAATTTATTGTTATGTATGAGGATAAACCTAAAAATTTCAATAAATAAGGAAATATTTTCAAAACCATTGCAACTTAAATGGCTTTATGACTACGACTTTACATAAAATTTCTATTTTAATAGAAAAAAGAAATCAATTTCATGTACACACATTCTATAATCTTAATTTTATTATCTAATTAACAATTGTTATTACTAAATAACAATAATAATTATAAGAAAATCTTGTTAAAAGTTTTCAGTACTTAACAGATGCATCTATTGTTCTCAGTTCATAGAGAATATTTCAATAATATAAGTATTACAAATATTTCTTCGGAAGGTAATATCGTTTCGAGACCCATTAAAATTTGAACGCGACCCAATATTGGGTAGTGTCTTATAGTTTGAGAAATGCTGATCTAGATTCTAGATCATAGTTTAGAAATTAAAGAAATATGTCATATTAAAGCTATCTTCTACCAAATAATAGAGATATAGAGTAACGTGTGAATTATATTATTGTCATTATATATTGCTTACATTAATTTTATCAATTAACTTGTTTTATCGTTTTACTTGTAATTGCATTATTTTTGATAGTTTATAGACATTATCTTAATTAAGTCTATCTATATTAATAAATTTTATTGTATTACTTTCTATTCTCTTTTTTCTTAATACAGTAGTTTCTCGTTATATCATTCATTCGGATATATCATACTATGTTTTGTCTTCAAAATATAAAAAGGCTTTAGCCAATAATGAATAGATACAAATGTCATATCGCCAACCTGATATATAGTTCATTTGGTTTGTCTTCCTGCATGCACGATATAACGAGAGGGCTACAGTATTTTAAAACATAATAAATTAATCTTATGATACTCCAGTGAACTAATTAGAAAATTTTATTAATTTCTATATATAAATGCTGTGAGACCGTCTACCAAACAAGTTTTTTGGATTAAAAGGACGTTATATATAGAAATTGAATAAACAGCAACCATATTACATTAAAAACATGCTATTAATAATTTTTTACATATACTGGTTATTTTCATTGTGAGCATTTAATGAATACAGTCGACCCCCCTATAAGATATAGATACGTTCCATTCTTTGGAAACAGTAAAAAACCCCCTATAAGATTTTTTTACTGTTTCCATTCTTTGGAAACAGTAAAAAAACAGTAAAAAACCCCCTATATCTTATAGGGGGTTTTTTACTGTTTTTTTACGGATACCGGTCACAAGTTTTTCGTAGTTTTATAGGAATCGTAATTATAGGGACCGTAATTATAGGGGGGTCGACTGTATATCATCATTTGTAAACAGTTTTAAAAAACTGATTTTATATCGAATAATTCGTTGGTCAGTATCGCATATTGAATAACATATTAGTTGTATTACATATTCATTTTTTCAGAATGATTAAAACCAAAATGAAATCTATTATAATTAAAATTTAAAAAACCAACAACGAGTTGTTTAACTTTCCCTGCAACAACATTTAAAACTGTGTGAGGCACCATTTGTTATAACATTTTATTTAAAAAACTTACATTTTTAATTATTATAAAATGATAAAGAGCTTAATTTTGAGGATAGTGACGGGTTTTATAAAAAAAATAATTGTAAATGCTAATAACGAGTAAAATCGTCATTAAGTCCGATCCTACTCGAGATATGACACACCACCCCTTTATCGCCCCACCCCGTCGACCTTTCACCACCAAAATTTAATAGCATCAATCCCCCTAACCCAAACACACTAACATCCATACGTACAGAAAAAACCTGAATTTTTTTACATTTTTCGACGTTTCAAGGTCTCCCTGAGTCCAAAAATGTATTCAATAAATATCTTGGAGGATCATTTTTTGACCGATCGCCATACTTTCCCTCTCTTATATATAACAGCCGGAAAAGTAAAAATAGAAATTTCACATGTTAAAATTTAAAAGAGACGTCACATTAATTTACAAACTTCTATTAAAAATTAGAGTATATATTTTCACAAGACACTATTATACAATGATCTGGGTGATTGCTTTTGGTTTTGTTAATTTTCTGTATATTTAATGCATAACAGTTATGGCCAAATTGAGCGTGGGAACGGAATATGACACGTAGCCTTAGATACTCATAAGAAGCAGAGATCGGAGAAATAGCTGATCTGATTCAAATTTTTTATATTTTTAAGAAAATACCTTTCCACGTTGCATATTATCAAATGTTCGATTGTTCCATAATATAATAATTTATTGTTTTATCAAATGATACTAAACATTTTGTCAGCATGCAGACAATGGTTTTGCCAATTTTTTAAATATTGAAAAAATTGCGCCAAATGCGCAAAATAGACGATAGTATTTTAATACTATACGAGCAATTTATTCTTTCAATCACCATAACAGTGTATTTCTATTAATAGGACTTATCACACTGGTGTATAAGATTACAGCAACACAGTCACACAGATTAAAATTGTTTTATTTAGAATTACCTGTAATCTATATATATAAAAATGAATGTATGTGTGTGTGTGTGTGTGTCTGTCCTTCATGCATTACCACACCGTTTATCCGATTGTCGTGAAACTTTGAGANTAAATAACCAATATTTTATTTTATGATATTAGATTTTTTTGTCGTAAAGAAAAACAAAAATTTCCGAACGTTCGTTTTAAGGCATTTTACGTTAACAATAGTAAAGCGAAAGTCGGTGGAAAATAAAGATCGCGTGACGTTAAACGCTAGGCGAATCTTTAAATAATACTTCCTTATTAAATCCTAAATGTAAAAGCCTCATTATTCACTTCTCGCCTTCCGATTAATCAAACGAACCAATAAGCGAAAGACAATTACCGTGACGTAACTAATATCGATCGGAAATCGTTGCCAATGGATATTTGCCAATGCTATGATAGATGACGTATTAATATTTGTTTATTAAGCATAATCTTTCGATTGGAATTTATAAAGATTATTAAACGTTCGTCGCCGGATATTAATTTTCGTTACTTTTATTAATATGTCAAAGGTTAAGAGGAAGAAAAACGTCACATGACCGATGACGTCATCTGGCATTGGCCGTATTCTCCCGCGTCGAATGACGCCATGTTGTATGGAGTGAAAAGCCGGTTCGTTAGTGGCAGAGTGACGATGACGACGTTTTTCGATGTTGTGAGTTTAAAAAGAGAATAACATGCTCTGCGTGTAAACTGGACCATCTAGAAAGGGCAGGTAAGTCGCCTTTTAGATTTTTTAGCATGCCGCATGTTACAGATTATAACTGTTTGCGCATTCGGCTCAGTTTTTGACCCAATTTCTATACGTTGCATATTTGTTTTTTATTGCTATTTCATCGTCCCGTCGATTTCGCTTAGATATACAGTCGAAAATTAGCGCTGACGTCATCCTTAGTCACGTGTCGTTAAAAGTCTTAACAGTAGTGGTTATAACGCGGCTGATGTCAGGGCTATGATGTCATCCCCATACGTTCGTGCATCGAAAACACCACAAGTATTACGCTCAAGGAGCCTGTAAAAGGTGCATTTCCGCACGATTTCCGAAGCTAAAGGAAAAGCCAGAACTAGCAATTAAATCGATAGATAAATATTCATAAATTTATCTGTAATTATCTGTCTGAATTAATTAATATCTAACCATGTTTAATAATATCATATGTGGCACATAACTTCGGGGTATTTATGCATAATGCTAAGCTTCGCCATTAGGTTTGATAATTTCACATATTAAATTTAATTTTTATTCTGTTTTATGTCCTTTTCGTTGTATATTGTAAATTATTCATTTATAATTAAATTTTGCCACGTGTTCGTGATTAATGTCTGATGGATTTTGATAACAGTGTCATTAAAGATTTTTGACCCTGAAGATTAACTTATACGTTAACTTATTTGTTTGTATTTTAATGTACGATGAGAATTTAATGATGTTTATTCGTTGTAGTCTCAATCTTTTAATGATTATGTAATCATAATTAACAGTTTTTTTTACTAAATCGAACAATCATAATCTGATTTTACATTATGTCGAATGTTTTTGTGTTTTCAGTATTTATCTACTTGTATTATAATCCTAACGACAGTGATTTTTCTCCTTCCGTCTTCTGAGATTCTCTACTATTTACAAGATCATCCCTCAGGGCACACGAGTTTCTCTACTCTCTAGAGAAATGTCACATGTAACTCTTATAGAATGCCGTCATATAATATTTGTCATGCTATTTTGTTAGGTAGTTGGGTGCTATTAATAATATCGAATTCTACTCCAGTAGGAAAGTTTATTCATTCAAACGTTTATATACTTTCCCTTTCGTCTATGCCGACTTAATGATGATCATTATTGACGTGTTGACCTTTATGGATCGGGCTCACAAGTACAATAACAAAAATCGTTAAAACTACGATGGTCTTGTTCTAACGTGCTGAAAAAAGCATTAAAAATGTTATTTGTACGTAGATTTTTCTGTAAATTCGATGTCTGTAGCCAACTAATTTTCATCTTTCTTCTATGCCAAATTTTGTTATCGTTTGATTTGTTTCCCTGTTTTTTTTATTTTATTTATTTATTTATTTTTACTGAATTACTGCCAAATTTTATTAAAATATATTTCAGATACATTCTATACAAGAAGTAATTTATAAATTTACGAAAAAGCAAATAAAATTTGAGCAAATTTTACATACAATACAAAAATTTCTATTGCCGAAAATATAATTTGCTTTTATGAGAAATATATGTTTAAATCTGAAGAATAAAAAGCAGTTATAAATTAAGACCTGCTTTTTATTCCGTAACTTTTACAGATTGTAATTTTCTAAGTTATTAAATTTTATGAATTAATACATCGCGTGATTAATACATATTAAAGATAACTATTATTCAAACATAAAGAGCAAATATTAATTGACTTATTATGTAAATAAAACAAATTTATAAATAAACTTTTTCTTTTATCTTTAAGGTCGAGAAACTTCAAAAATATATATATCACTTAAAAGATGAGTGACTGGGCAGTAGCTCTTGCTTTGATTAGTATCAGTATATTAGTTACAGCCATATTATTAGGTCTGTGTCGTCTTCTTGGTGGCTGGACATGGTTGAGAGCTTGGTTTACTGGAAACAGAGAAGAAACAGCATCATTAACTAAAGGTGGACAATACAGCGCTAACGGGTATATGGTTAGTATATTATATAAAATTAAAGTATTTGAGATATTATCGAACTGAATTACCTCTCTTTATATTTTTAGATGAATTCCGAATCCGACATTGCCTTAGATTTAAGTGGAAATTATCGACATTACGATAATGTGGCTAACGACATGAAATTCATTCAAGAAGAGAAGTTTACTATAGAAGCACTTCCAACAAAGGAACAAATACAACCCAAAGAACCAGAAAATGGCTATTCTGCTCCAAATAGTGATCTGCCAGATGCCTTACGTAATTATTTTTTTAACTTTAAAGCATGAAATCGCTAAATTTCAAAATAACTAAAGCAAGTTTTAGATGTTCTGTGAACAAAAAGTAATTTAATAATTGTTCGGATGGCCAAGATCATCTTGACGTTTGAAAAATGGATAACGCAATGCCGAATTAAGAAGTTCCCTTATTTTTAAAACGATTCAGTTTAGAAAATGTTTGATGTTTTTAATAAGAACCGGAGTAAAAACAAAAAAAAATTTTAAATAATTCGACCATATGGAAAATAAAAAATCGTTATGGCGTTCATACGTATTACGTAATATGAAGCTATAAAACTTAAAAATCTCATTACCTAAAACATTAATGATCTATTACTCGATAATTAAATAAGATTTTTTTTTATATTTAAATTAACCCGATTTAATAAAATTATCGAATTCAGACTAGAAGTTATCCGCTCTGATGATCACATCTACGCATGCGTTCTGTCTGTTCATTTGCGAGATTTTAATTAAAAGAAAGTTTAAAACAGAAATATTTAATTACGAATTATAATTATTAATGCTAATTAAAAACATCGTTTGACTTTCTTGGAAATTTAAACATTTTTTTTTCTTTTTTATGAATAAATTAATTTTCTTCATTTCTAATTAATATAATGACAGAAAATTTGCATCTGATTTTAACTATACACAGTAGCGTAATGATTATAATTTAAAATTTATTTATTTAAATACTTGTTTGCAGTCTTTGATACAACTTCCACATCACCTCTCCAACGCGCCCTTTCTTGTGACAGTGTTTGTTCTGATACATCGGTCGTCTTAGAAACCCTAGAAGTCCCCCGAAACAACGGAGAATTAGAAATCGGGTTGGAATATGATAAGTAATTATTTATTTATTTCCTATTCTATTCTTTTTTTCATTGATATTTTAGATAATATCCATAACACAACTATAAACAAAGACTTGACTGATTATACATTACAGACTTTAAAACATTAGTAAAAAATCTAGTAACGAGTTGCTTGACTTTTCCAGCTGTTATGAGATTTTATTTAAAAATCACTTTTTAATTATTAATCATAAATAAATAAAATTATATGTGGCGCCATCTATTATGAGATTTTGTTATAAAAGCTTTATATGTTTTGAATTATTATAAAATAGCAAAGGATTTAATTTTTAATTTTGAAGGTAGAGATGCGTTTTATAAAGATCTGTTATTCCTAATAATAATTACAATCTTCATTAAGCCCAACCCCACGCGAGATATGACACATGACCACTCTCTCCCCTCCCCTCTACCTTTCATTACCAAAATTTAATAGCATCAATGCCCCATATACAAAGCTATCATGTCAAATTTTGTTTCTTAATCTTCATTCCACTCTGAGGTACTAAACGAAATATACGCCAACACACATACACACACGCATATTTCCACGGAATTTTTTCGCCTTGGGGGTTCAGGGGCTCAAAACGTAGAGATTTGCAAAAAAGTCGGAGAGTCAAAGTTGACACGATTCCAGTACTTTCCTTTGTTATGTATACATAACCGTTGGGAAAGTAAAAGCCAAAGATTCGCCCATATTCATCAATATATACAAGCCTCATTTCTTTTCTATCATATTCTACATACAACTACAAAATTTAGCAAAGAATCGTGCCAATTAGGATTATCTTTCCTACATCGTTTTGCTGTCTGATTAGATTTTTCTCTCCATTAGAAATTTATTTTATGTTACAAATGACAAAAAAACATATCACAGAAAATGTATTTGTAGCAATGTCTATTGTGATTTTTATTTTAATTGATGTAAAACTTTTTAAAACGAAATTCTACATAATTGATAATGAATAGATGATTTATGTGGATAGTTATATTGCATTTTTTATATTTTTATATATAATATCAAATATTAAGAAGAAAAAGTAAGTAATAAATAAATTATTTTAATTCAGAACAACTTTGACATTTTATTTTACGGATTACCTTTATATATACATATATATTTAATACTGTATAAGCAAAAATATATTAACTAGAAAACGAATATTAGGCTAATACATATCTTTGCTTTTAATTGCCTTATTTTCACATTAGGTCGTGTCACGTTAAGAAATTGAATTCAGAATAAAACTTTATGATTTCCAAGCCAGATATTTATTTATTTATTTATTAAGATTTAGCGCATAAAATTCTTTTCTCGTTTTATCATCTTGATAATAAAAATATTAATAAGCATGAATTAATTGTAAAATTAGAAATACTGTAGTTGATAGAGATAGTGTTATAAATAACGCAACAAGATAATAATTTTCTTACTTTTATCAGAAAAATAATTTATTATAAAGTTTGCATAAATATAGTTACTATAATTATATTCACTGTGTATAATGCTTTCAAATGAAAAATAATTTATTATATTTTTATATCCGGTTCTATTCTTTGCCAAATCTCATTTTTTCTGTTTATTGTTTGTATTTGAAACGTCGCGCCAATGCGCATTCCTCCAAATCGATAATTCTTGAACTTTTTATTTTGGAACTATATTTGATAATAAAAAAGTTTTGCATGTTGTTTAGTAAAATATTAATAAATTCATAGAAAAGATGTGATATTAAAATGAAAGTTTGATTACGAATGCACTAATTTTTGTTTAACATAGATTACTTCATTCTGCAACATATCGTCAAGCAGATTTATGTGAATTACTGCTTTTTGGATTACACTTTGAAAATTGCATCTTTAAACAATTATCATTTTATTTATAAACGAAGGAAACTCTAGAAAGTAGTTTCTTTGTGTGTAAAAATCAAAATAATATTATGATTCTTTACTATGATTATAAATGATAAAAAATACTCGTATATTTAAAAATTATGTAACTTTTTCTATTGATATGTTAGTTTTTAAATTGCTATTGAATAGAATATATTGTATATACTGTCTATGGAAATTACTTGACAAGCATTACGTATCATTTCATTTACATTTTATCATCTGCTTCTGATTCTCTAGGCTGAATACACATGGAAATAATAAATAATTTGTAATTAAATAAACGTATTGTTTAATTATATATATATATTGGTTAATTATAAAGATATTAAATTGTTTAACTATATATATTTAATGTATAATTGTTTATTTACATTTAGTTTCATTTTAGTTATTGTTATATATTAAATTGCTTAATTACTGAGAATATGTTTAAAAATTTAATTTAAGTTTTAAACAAATTATAATTAAAACAAAATTTTGTATAATCTAATTTTCTCCTTGCTTTTAATAAGATAATTAATAAACTTTTTCTTTAAATTTATAAAATGTCTTTCAGTTGAGAAGTCAGTTGACATTTTTCTTGGAATTTTATATTAAAAAACTTTTTAGTAAAGAAATATTTGGATCTACAAAGTTCACAATTTTTCATTTAACAATTATCATTTTATTGATATTAGAAAATAGATTGGGGTATTCGTAAGAATTCGAAGAGTTTTCTAATTATATTCTAATTGTATAATATGAAAGAATTAAATTTATATTTTGTCTCTTCGATTGATTTTCTAGATCCGAGTTTCTCAAACGTTTTGCTCACGCGACCCAATGTATTTGTAATGGTTTCGCAACCTAAATGCTTATTATATAAAAATTTTTAAAAATCTGTTAAACTGGAGCACCGTATATTATGCAACAAAATAAAATCATACATTAATTGATAATAACATCCACATGTGAAATGTAACATTAAGTACATTTCTACTAAGAACAGTTTATGCCAATTTCGATTTGTAACAAATAACTGTAACAATAACTTACTTTAATTTCAGTTTTTATTATTAAAATTTAACTGTTAAAAACGTATGACTGACGATGGAGTCTATTTTGAAAAATATTACAAGCTTTTTTTTTTATAAAGTTAATAAATCTTTTTTAAAATATATTTTTCTGATTGGAAGAGTAATTTGTTAATTTCATTCTGTATACACAGGAAAAGATTATTTATTGATCCACTTGTGCCAAAATCATTCGATATTTATTTTTTTAAATAATTTATTGTTATGTATGAGGATAAACCTAAAAATTTCAATAAATAAGGAAATATTTTCAAAACCATTGCAACTTAAATGGCTTTATGACTACGACTTTACATAAAATTTCTATTTTAATAGAAAAAAGAAATCAATTTCATGTACACACATTCTATAATCTTAATTTTATTATCTAATTAACAATTGTTATTACTAAATAACAATAATAATTATAAGAAAATCTTGTTAAAAGTTTTCAGTACTTAACAGATGCATCTATTGTTCTCAGTTCATAGAGAATATTTCAATAATATAAGTATTACAAATATTTCTTCGGAAGGTAATATCGTTTCGAGACCCATTAAAATTTGAACGCGACCCAATATTGGGTAGTGTCTTATAGTTTGAGAAATGCTGATCTAGATTCTAGATCATAGTTTAGAAATTAAAGAAATATGTCATATTAAAGCTATCTTCTACCAAATAATAGAGATATAGAGTAACGTGTGAATTATATTATTGTCATTATATATTGCTTACATTAATTTTATCAATTAACTTGTTTTATCGTTTTACTTGTAATTGCATTATTTTTGATAGTTTATAGACATTATCTTAATTAAGTCTATCTATATTAATAAATTTTATTGTATTACTTTCTATTCTCTTTTTTCTTAATACAGTAGTTTCTCGTTATATCATTCATTCGGATATATCATACTATGTTTTGTCTTCAAAATATAAAAAGGCTTTAGCCAATAATGAATAGATACAAATGTCATATCGCCAACCTGATATATAGTTCATTTGGTTTGTCTTCCTGCATGCACGATATAACGAGAGGGCTACAGTATTTTAAAACATAATAAATTAATCTTATGATACTCCAGTGAACTAATTAGAAAATTTTATTAATTTCTATATATAAATGCTGTGAGACCGTCTACCAAACAAGTTTTTTGGATTAAAAGGACGTTATATATAGAAATTGAATAAACAGCAACCATATTACATTAAAAACATGCTATTAATAATTTTTTACATATACTGGTTATTTTCATTGTGAGCATTTAATGAATACAGTCGACCCCCCTATAAGATATAGATACGTTCCATTCTTTGGAAACAGTAAAAAACCCCCTATAAGATTTTTTTACTGTTTCCATTCTTTGGAAACAGTAAAAAAACAGTAAAAAACCCCCTATATCTTATAGGGGGTTTTTTACTGTTTTTTTACGGATACCGGTCACAAGTTTTTCGTAGTTTTATAGGAATCGTAATTATAGGGACCGTAATTATAGGGGGGTCGACTGTATATCATCATTTGTAAACAGTTTTAAAAAACTGATTTTATATCGAATAATTCGTTGGTCAGTATCGCATATTGAATAACATATTAGTTGTATTACATATTCATTTTTTCAGAATGATTAAAACCAAAATGAAATCTATTATAATTAAAATTTAAAAAACCAACAACGAGTTGTTTAACTTTCAATGCAACAACATTTAAAACTGTGTGAGGCACCATTTGTTATAACATTTTATTTAAAAAACTTACATTTTTAATTATTATAAAATGATAAAGAGCTTAATTTTGAGGATAGTGACGGGTTTTATAAAAAAAATAATTGTAAATGCTAATAACGAGTAAAATCGTCATTAAGTCCGATCCTACTCGAGATATGACACACCACCCCTTTATCGCCCCACCCCGTCGACCTTTCACCACCAAAATTTAATAGCATCAATCCCCCTAACCCAAACACACTAACATCCATACGTACAGAAAAAACCTGAATTTTTTTACATTTTTCGACGTTTCAAGGTCTCCCTGAGTCCAAAAATGTATTCAATAAATATCTTGGAGGATCATTTTTTGACCGATCGCCATACTTTCCCTCTCTTATATATAACAGCCGGAAAAGTAAAAATAGAAATTTCACATGTTAAAATTTAAAAGAGACGTCACATTAATTTACAAACTTCTATTAAAAATTAGAGTATATATTTTCACAAGACACTATTATACAATGATCTGGGTGATTGCTTTTGGTTTTGTTAATTTTCTGTATATTTAATGCATAACAGTTATGGCCAAATTGAGCGTGGGAACGGAATATGACACGTAGCCTTAGATACTCATAAGAAGCAGAGATCGGAGAAATAGCTGATCTGATTCAAATTTTTTATATTTTTAAGAAAATACCTTTCCACGTTGCATATTATCAAATGTTCGATTGTTCCATAATATAATAATTTATTGTTTTATCAAATGATACTAAACATTTTGTCAGCATGCAGACAATGGTTTTGCCAATTTTTTAAATATTGAAAAAATTGCGCCAAATGCGCAAAATAGACGATAGTATTTTAATACTATACGAGCAATTTATTCTTTCAATCACCATAACAGTGTATTTCTATTAATAGGACTTATCACACTGGTGTATAAGATTACAGCAACACAGTCACACAGATTAAAATTGTTTTATTTAGAATTACCTGTAATCTATATATATAAAAATGAATGTATGTGTGTGTGTGTGTGTGTCTGTCCTTCATGCATTACCACACCGTTTATCCGATTGTCGTGAAACTTTGAGAAGTTGTTTAATATACTCCGGCGTAGGTTTGTGGCATAGTACGATTGCCATGAAACTTTGGAAAGTTTTTTTAATTTTTTAATACACTCCCGCGAAGTACATTTATCCTACGATAGATGGCGCGCGTTTACACGAGCATTAGAGCACAGTGTGTCCGATCGATTTCAAATTGTGAAGACCATTTCCCCCCTTTAAAAAATATCTCTATATATGCATTTGTGAACTGTTATTTACGATATTTGTAATAATTTTTGTTTAATCACTTTATTTCAACTTTTTTTTGCTAATTATGTATTCGCTCGAGCTTCGTTAAAACCTTAACTGTACCCCGAACAACAACCGAAGTTGTAGGAAGAAATTCGCGTATTTTACCGATCTAGGTATCCCCCCTTTTCCAAATTTTAATATCGACTCAAAATAATTTAAAAAGACAAATTACAATAAAACGGTTTATTATCCAACTATCAGAAATTTCACAACATGCCAAGGAAGAGAGGAAGGAGCAATTAAATAATTAAAATTATAAAGGATTAAAAAATATATATATAAATGGGGAATATCGCACTTCTGACAATCGCTGCGAGTGTGTGGGCTAAATTTGGAGAATCCGTGCTTCTCGCATGGACAACTGTATGTGGCCGGCTCACGCGTCGGAAAACCTTCCGATTTATTCGTGTACGCACCAGACGGAAAAACAAAAAATATCGTGTATCCACAAGCACTCCAATAAATAAATAGAATTGAAACGACACTTTGAAATGTTTTCCCGATGAAAATGAATAATAATAATAAGTTTCAATAAAAATAATAAAATGTAAATTTAATTTTATCATAACGAGTTTGCTTGAATTTCGTTTCTTCTGAGATCGCAGCAATGCGCGACGGGTAAGCTAGTACTATATAGATGTCGAAATTCCCCCCGCGGGGGAGAGAGACAAAATTAAGGCTTACCGTGAAGAACTGATCTTCTATTATTCTATTTTAGATGCGGTTTTTTGCGTTTTAATAGGGTACGTCAAGAGAATGTACACTAAAAAAGAATTTTTCGAAATTCCCTCCCGCGGAGAGTATTATACATTTATAATAGATACATTTTGAGCCACAGCAACGCGTGGCCGGGTACAGCTAGTTGTAAATAAAACAATTTTAATCTGTGTGACTGTGTTGCTGTAATCTTATACACCAGTGTGATAAGTCTTATTAATAGAAATACACTGTTATGGTGATTGAAAGAATAATTTGTTTAAATTAAGGACATTGATGCATATGAATTATACGAGCAATTATTTATTGTGACATCGCCACAATGCCGGGTTGCAATTTTTCGTCCAATGCTCTCAATTTTAGTGCCTTACCCCTGTACACCATACTTTTCCTGTTAACAACGCTGTCATGCCAGTATCTTTCTAATTCCATTCAGGAGAAAATTTTGAATTGAAATAACGTGACTTCCAGACCAAACCGGATGTTCGTATATATTTAATTGCGGGCTTCTATCTTTAAGCTTTCCATATCTGGTCTTGACTTTCATCTAACTCCGTTCTTGAGATTAAGGAAGGATAGACAGACGAACGTCACTGGAAATTTATAGATCTACAGTTTTTGAGAGTTGCTACCCAATTGCTGTAAATTATATCACAATCAGTATTATACAAATTAACAAAGTATCAATATTTTGTATGCTGCTGGATACGGATACATTTCTAATTTTGTATAGAATTAAAAAATTTGTGAAAATAGTCTTATATATTTACATTATTTATTAAATATGAATCGTTTCACAGAAACACTTTATTTAGGTCTATTTTCATTATTTGCTTTGCAGTCTTTTTAAATGATTACGTATCTCTCGTTTTTATAGTTCTCACTGCATCATTATCATTTCTATATCTACCACAATCTAATGAACACAATATAAATAAAACAAGTTCATTTCTATATAATTTTACTGATTTATTAATATTATCTTTTCTGTATAAATTCATACTTCTGAACTAAAACTTTAGTTTTACATGAATTAAAAAAAAAAACAAAATAACGAAATCAAAATAAATGATTGGAATTTATATAAATACTACAAATTCTAATGAATACTTATCTATTAACTTTAAAAAAATGTAATAATAATTGAATTTCAAAATAAAATTTTTCTATTACAATATTAAAATTCTTTTAATAACAATTAAAACTACAAAGAACTAGATTTTAAATTAGGGAAGAAGTGATTTATCAATAATTTAATTTTTATATACTTTTAGTGAAACAGAAGATTTAATGGTTCTTGTAAATCAAGCACGTGATTTAGTTGGTACTGAACCCAATGTACCTGTTGACAGTTACGTTCGTGTTTTTCTTTTGCCTGACAAATCAACCAATATGCAGACTCGAGTAAGTAATGATTTAAATAGATATAAAATTCAAATGATAATGGATAATAATAAGTGCTAACTGAATTAATTGAGCAAATTCTATGTTCATTAGATACTGGTATTCATTGCTAACTATTTTGTAGATTCAAAAACGTACAAACGAGCCCATTTTCAAGGAACGATTCTTATTTGGAGTAGATAGAAAAGAATTGCCGCAAAGAATTGTTACGTGTTATGTGTACACATGCGATAAATATACGAATACATTGATTGGTGAAGCTGTTGTTAATTTATTAGAAGTCGATTTGCGTAAGACATTCGTTGATTGGATACCAATTTTGGAACCGAATAAGGTAAATTAATATTAAAAATTTCTTATATATGAACATATGAAACGTAATATGTATTAAATTATGCTTGTTTTTTTTAAATTACGTATTAATCTCTAATTTAACTATATAAAAATTTGATTTTAAATAGCTAAGAAAAGAATATTGAAGAAAAATATGTTGATTATATTATTCAATCAATTAATTCTTACTAATCAGTTAAAATATTTAGTAATTGCATATAGAAATATAAAAGCATGGAATTTTATAAGAATATAATGTTTAAGTATTTTTGAAGTAATTAATAAAATTTGAAATTCTAGATTAATTATTCCAATGGTTGATAATTACTGTAATTATTTTCAATTGAAGTTAAAATATTTTCTAAATCTAAGGGAAAATTATTAGTGTAAGCATTTCTGTATTACCTGTAATCACTGTTTCTGATATCAATGCTTGAATTTTACTAATTCAAATAATAAATTATAAATTATCTATTATTCTATCATTCAGTGATATAGAAAAGAATACAAAGTTTTAAAATAACCAAAAATATCGCAGAATATTTTTTCGTGACCCTAATAATAATATATAGGCCTAATATGCATTTTAAATTTGAAAATCACCACTAACGAATACCATTTTATTTTATATTACTGAAGTAATCAATAATATGAAAAAAATTTTAAATTTAAAAATAGTCAATGATATTTAAATTTATTCAAGTTTTCTTTCTAAATAACCAATGATGAGAAAAATTTTAAATTTAAATTTTGAAAATCCAATTGAATAAGTTCTAAAATTTTGAGTTTGCATTAAACCTTTATAGTTTATACACATTTTGGATGAAATTTTAAAATATAAATATACATATAAATTTTTAACAGGATTCTAGTGATTTGGGAGATTTAATGTTTTCCTTAAGTTATCTTCCGACTGCTGAAAGGCTTACTGTTGTAGTTGTAAAAGCTAGAAACTTGAGGTGGAATAATGATAAAGAAAGTGGAGGTAGATATCATTACATTAGTAACTACATTTTGGTCTGTTTGAATTCTGTAATAAATCATTATTATTTTGTCACTTTAAAGATCCATTTGTTAAAGTGTATTTGATGCAGAATGGAAAGAAGATTTGCAANTTAATTTAAGTTTTAAACAAATTATAATTAAAACAAAATTTTGTATAATCTAATTTTCTCCTTGCTTTTAATAAGATAATTAATAAACTTTTTCTTTAAATTTATAAAATGTCTTTCAGTTGAGAAGTCAGTTGACATTTTTCTTGGAATTTTATATTAAAAAACTTTTTAGTAAAGAAATATTTGGATCTACAAAGTTCACAATTTTTCATTTAACAATTATCATTTTATTGATATTAGAAAATAGATTGGGGTATTCGTAAGAATTCGAAGAGTTTTCTAATTATATTCTAATTGTATAATATGAAAGAATTAAATTTATATTTTGTCTCTTCGATTGATTTTCTAGATCCGAGTTTCTCAAACGTTTTGCTCACGCGACCCAATGTATTTGTAATGGTTTCGCAACCTAAATGCTTATTATATAAAAATTTTTAAAAATCTGTTAAACTGGAGCACCGTATATTATGCAACAAAATAAAATCATACATTAATTGATAATAACATCCACATGTGAAATGTAACATTAAGTACATTTCTACTAAGAACAGTTTATGCCAATTTCGATTTGTAACAAATAACTGTAACAATAACTTACTTTAATTTCAGTTTTTATTATTAAAATTTAACTGTTAAAAACGTATGACTGACGATGGAGTCTATTTTGAAAAATATTACAAGCTTTTTTTTTTATAAAGTTAATAAATCTTTTTTAAAATATATTTTTCTGATTGGAAGAGTAATTTGTTAATTTCATTCTGTATACACAGGAAAAGATTATTTATTGATCCACTTGTGCCAAAATCATTCGATATTTATTTTTTTAAATAATTTATTGTTATGTATGAGGATAAACCTAAAAATTTCAATAAATAAGGAAATATTTTCAAAACCATTGCAACTTAAATGGCTTTATGACTACGACTTTACATAAAATTTCTATTTTAATAGAAAAAAGAAATCAATTTCATGTACACACATTCTATAATCTTAATTTTATTATCTAATTAACAATTGTTATTACTAAATAACAATAATAATTATAAGAAAATCTTGTTAAAAGTTTTCAGTACTTAACAGATGCATCTATTGTTCTCAGTTCATAGAGAATATTTCAATAATATAAGTATTACAAATATTTCTTCGGAAGGTAATATCGTTTCGAGACCCATTAAAATTTGAACGCGACCCAATATTGGGTAGTGTCTTATAGTTTGAGAAATGCTGATCTAGATTCTAGATCATAGTTTAGAAATTAAAGAAATATGTCATATTAAAGCTATCTTCTACCAAATAATAGAGATATAGAGTAACGTGTGAATTATATTATTGTCATTATATATTGCTTACATTAATTTTATCAATTAACTTGTTTTATCGTTTTACTTGTAATTGCATTATTTTTGATAGTTTATAGACATTATCTTAATTAAGTCTATCTATATTAATAAATTTTATTGTATTACTTTCTATTCTCTTTTTTCTTAATACAGTAGTTTCTCGTTATATCATTCATTCGGATATATCATACTATGTTTTGTCTTCAAAATATAAAAAGGCTTTAGCCAATAATGAATAGATACAAATGTCATATCGCCAACCTGATATATAGTTCATTTGGTTTGTCTTCCTGCATGCACGATATAACGAGAGGGCTACAGTATTTTAAAACGTAATAAATTAATCTTATGATACTCCAGTGAACTAATTAGAAAATTTTATTAATTTCTATATATAAATGCTGTGAGACCGTCTACCAAACAAGTTTTTTGGATTAAAAGGACGTTATATATAGAAATTGAATAAACAGCAACCATATTACATTAAAAACATGCTATTAATAATTTTTTACANTATACATATAAATTTTTAACAGGATTCTAGTGATTTGGGAGATTTAATGTTTTCCTTAAGTTATCTTCCGACTGCTGAAAGGCTTACTGTTGTAGTTGTAAAAGCTAGAAACTTGAGGTGGAATAATGATAAAGAAAGTGGAGGTAGATATCATTACATTAGTAACTACATTTTGGTCTGTTTGAATTCTGTAATAAATCATTATTATTTTGTCACTTTAAAGATCCATTTGTTAAAGTGTATTTGATGCAGAATGGAAAGAAGATTTGCAAGAAGAAAACTTCTGTGAAAAAAGATGAAAGGAATCCTATTTTCAATGAATCAATGATATTTTCTGTTCCTTTAAATGCCTTACAGGTATTATATATATTTTTTCTTACTTCTAGAATAAGTAAATACACTGTTATGGTGATTGAAAGAATAATTTNTTGTAGTAAAATGTTACCTATTGGTTTACTAATAATAATATAAAAATTCGTTACTTTACCATGTAAATCTCGAATTATAAACATAAGCTTCTTCTTCAGATTTGCAAATTTTTCTTCGGCGTTTGCAAAGTATAACTGTCTTCTAAATCGAAAGTCGATTATCTAATTGTGTTATAACTGTGCTATCAAATCAGTTAAATTTGATTTAGTATAAAGAAGTAGCTGTAAAATTAAAAGCAAAATTAATACTGACGAAAAGAAAATAATGTTTTACTCTATCAGCTTGTTATAAAACATTTTAAATTTTATAGCTGAAGCTAGTTAGTAAATGCATTAGTTATACTGTATACAATTTGTGATTTATAGATTGTATCAGAGAAAAAATTTCTCTTTATTTTTTTAAAAGTGTTTTTATGTATCTGATATTTATCTTATGTATCAAATGTAACTTGCTAAATTTTTTTAAATGAGATATTTTTCAATTATAAAGCATTATCAAAAATATAAGATACGTCTAGAGAAGTCACATGCAACTCGTTCATCAGCCTACAGAAGTCAGAGCAACTCATTTGCAATTATTGCTGTCTGCGTGTGCAGTGTAAGACATACAACTTTCTTTTGGTTTTATTCATCCGAGGCATCTGCGGATTTATGCACATTGTTGCTGTTGAGAAACATGTTGTAATTGTTTCTCAAGAAATGTAAAGACTGTTGATACTGTGTTTGATGTAAGATGATATTTTTACATATTATTCAGAACTGTGTGGCTGGCTAACAAAGGGTGAGTGGAACCATGTTTTCAAAGAGCCATTTTGAGGAGCAGACAGCGGCGGCATCTTTTTCTGACGTTTGAGCAAGATTCTACATTTAAGTTCTGTTTACGTATTTTTTGAAGTTTAAGGAAAATGTAATGCCAAAAGATTTAATACAGTACTGTAAAATATGCTTACAATAATGTCATTAGTTGGTGGGTGTGGCGTTAATTATACAACATGTAACACTGAAAAAATATTCTTTAACTTTAACTAATTCATATTCCATACCACTGGCATCTTATTCATACGTCTGGGAAATATAGAAAATTTTAATTTTTTTTATAATCTTATCAGTAAAGATCTGGTGTTTTCCAACGAAATACAGTTAAAGAAAATGTCTTTCAATTACCCTGTAAAATTTGCGAAAATTAATGACGGTTAGTTTCCCGTATCTTACGACATACTCATTAGATATGGCATCTTCCCCGCCTTATCTTATAGATTGGATCAGATTGATGAAATAAGGCAACCCAATATTTAGTTGGTCTGCCTAGGAGAGGTACAGTACTTCCGGGAGAACTTTCTATGGCTCCTATTTAGGTGTTAAACACGAATCTCGAAAACTCCTTGGAAAAACAAGCCCGTTGATGAGCGCAGCTCCCAATTAATTAACTACCAGTGTTCAGTAGTTTTATATCACAAATATATAATACGCATTACATAGTCTTATAATATTTTTCCAATAAATTAATAGAAAATGGAAATCTATATCTATAGTATTGATAGATTTGGAAAATGCTACTGTATTTCATTTACTTAAGAAATCTACTAGGCCTATATGGATTTCTTAAGTAACCTAAATAGCAGAAGAAAATATATTCGGATCTACCAGAAAATCTACTTATAAAAAAGCAAGATGAAACAAATGAGAAATAAACAAATATTTCCAAATGAAAAAATAAATAAATAAAAAATTCGATTCCCCATTCCTATTCAAAATAGAAAAATTTTTAGAAAAAATAAACCGATTCGTTTTAATAAAAACTTTTTCAAAAAGACATTTTGAAATTTTTTTAATTTAAAAATTATCAGCTTTACCATGGATGCAAATACACAATCAACCAAACAGTAGAAATGTATGTATACTGTAATCAGCTAAAATAATATACAGAATTGCATGTATTGCAGCTGACTTATGGCCTAATATTTCAAATTCATACGTTTCACTTTCAGTGAAACGTATGAAAGTGAACTAAAGTGAACTAAAGAAAGTGAAAATTGTAATAACATAATTCAAAATTTTAAAATTCTTTTATTGTTTTCTGCAAATAATAATAATAGTAATTGAAATATCCGCATCGATATTTGATTACTATAAGACTGTGGATATGAAGTTACGGACGATTATATTAAATGTTATTTCGAATAAATACATACAAAAACTTTTCATCTATTTAATTTACAATAGAATCAAGGACTAATTCTAGATTGTAAATATCACCAATATTTTATCTGCCAAATTTAACTTTTTAAATTGACTTATTGTGTGTTGGTAGATAGAAAATTATTAATTTTCTGTTTATTAACATGCAATAATGGGATGATCAATTGTATTATTAACAAACACAAATTTCTATATTACTATTAAGATGGCAGACTTCGTGCCTTTACGCCGTTACACGCTCGTAAGTAGATAACAGATTGTTATTTTCATAATATACTTCAAAAAATTAATTTTATTCTTAATTTAAGATCTAAAACTACCGAATAAAATTGAAATGTAATATATTTTAAATAAGTTTTTAAACTTCTAAAATAAATATATAGTCCTGTATATATATAATGTTGATTAAGATATAATTAAAATTTAAGCTAAGTGCTTGTTTAAGTTTTCTAGCTCAAAGACCCCAAAGAAAAATAATGGTATACTAAATTCCATTTAAAAATATTAAAAGGTATATTCAAAAGGCCTTAAATTAAATTTACATTTAAAGCCTCCACATAAAGATTAAAAAAAAATGAAAGATAAGTAACAGTTAAGATTCTCTGTTTACAAATAAAGTTTTTATTTTTACAAGTGATATATTTATTTTACTGTACAGAACCATTTTACTCTTATAAGAAATTTAGAATTTTAAAAATAGATCTACATAAATTATTCTAAATATATATCCCGTTCGAACTCTTAAATTAAAATTATTTACATGTTAATTTTGTTTTTATTTTTTAAATTTCGATTATATGTATTAATTAATATAGAGATTTTGTAGTAAAATGTTACCTATTGGTTTACTAATAATAATATAAAAATTCGTTACTTTACCATGTAAATCTCGAATTATAAACATAAGCTTCTTCTTCAGATTTGCAAATTTTTCTTCGGCGTTTGCAAAGTATAACTGTCTTCTAAATCGAAAGTCGATTATCTAATTGTGTTATAACTGTGCTATCAAATCAGTTAAATTTGATTTAGTATAAAGAAGTAGCTGTAAAATTAAAAGCAAAATTAATACTGACGAAAAGAAAATAATGTTTTACTCTATCAGCTTGTTATAAAACATTTTAAATTTTATAGCTGAAGCTAGTTAGTAAATGCATTAGTTATACTGTATACAATTTGTGATTTATAGATTGTATCAGAGAAAAAATTTCTCTTTATTTTTTTAAAAGTGTTTTTATGTATCTGATATTTATCTTATGTATCAAATGTAACTTGCTAAATTTTTTTAAATGAGATATTTTTCAATTATAAAGCATTATCAAAAATATAAGATACGTCTAGAGAAGTCACATGCAACTCGTTCATCAGCCTACAGAAGTCAGAGCAACTCATTTGCAATTATTGCTGTCTGCGTGTGCAGTGTAAGACATACAACTTTCTTTTGGTTTTATTCATCCGAGGCATCTGCGGATTTATGCACATTGTTGCTGTTGAGAAACATGTTGTAATTGTTTCTCAAGAAATGTAAAGACTGTTGATACTGTGTTTGATGTAAGATGATATTTTTACATATTATTCAGAACTGTGTGGCTGGCTAACAAAGGGTGAGTGGAACCATGTTTTCAAAGAGCCATTTTGAGGAGCAGACAGCGGCGGCATCTTTTTCTGACGTTTGAGCAAGATTCTACATTTAAGTTCTGTTTACGTATTTTTTGAAGTTTAAGGAAAATGTAATGCCAAAAGATTTAATACAGTACTGTAAAATATGCTTACAATAATGTCATTAGTTGGTGGGTGTGGCGTTAATTATACAACATGTAACACTGAAAAAATATTCTTTAACTTTAACTAATTCATATTCCATACCACTGGCATCTTATTCATACGTCTGGGAAATATAGAAAATTTTAATTTTTTTTATAATCTTATCAGTAAAGATCTGGTGTTTTCCAACGAAATACAGTTAAAGAAAATGTCTTTCAATTACCCTGTAAAATTTGCGAAAATTAATGACGGTTAGTTTCCCGTATCTTACGACATACTCATTAGATATGGCATCTTCCCCGCCTTATCTTATAGATTGGATCAGATTGATGAAATAAGGCAACCCAATATTTAGTTGGTCTGCCTAGGAGAGGTACAGTACTTCCGGGAGAACTTTCTATGGCTCCTATTTAGGTGTTAAACACGAATCTCGAAAACTCCTTGGAAAAACAAGCCCGTTGATGAGCGCAGCTCCCAATTAATTAACTACCAGTGTTCAGTAGTTTTATATCACAAATATATAATACGCATTACATAGTCTTATAATATTTTTCCAATAAATTAATAGAAAATGGAAATCTATATCTATAGTATTGATAGATTTGGAAAATGCTACTGTATTTCATTTACTTAAGAAATCTACTAGGCCTATATGGATTTCTTAAGTAACCTAAATAGCAGAAGAAAATATATTCGGATCTACCAGAAAATCTACTTATAAAAAAGCAAGATGAAACAAATGAGAAATAAACAAATATTTCCAAATGAAAAAATAAATAAATAAAAAATTCGATTCCCCATTCCTATTCAAAATAGAAAAATTTTTAGAAAAAATAAACCGATTCGTTTTAATAAAAACTTTTTCAAAAAGACATTTTGAAATTTTTTTAATTTAAAAATTATCAGCTTTACCATGGATGCAAATACACAATCAACCAAACAGTAGAAATGTATGTATACTGTAATCAGCTAAAATAATATACAGAATTGCATGTATTGCAGCTGACTTATGGCCTAATATTTCAAATTCATACGTTTCACTTTCAGTGAAACGTATGAAAGTGAACTAAAGTGAACTAAAGAAAGTGAAAATTGTAATAACATAATTCAAAATTTTAAAATTCTTTTATTGTTTTCTGCAAATAATAATAATAGTAATTGAAATATCCGCATCGATATTTGATTACTATAAGACTGTGGATATGAAGTTACGGACGAGAGAAAAATTTTTCACTATTCTGTAGTTGACAAACAAAAATCGTCGGTTGCCGTGGAGTTGTCAAAGACAGAAATGCCCCTGGCAAAACAACCGTTATCGCAGACGATCTCTCGTTTTCATATTTCGACATTAGTCATCTCAGGCGGAAAATCTGCTCGCTCCGTTTGCATAACGGTAGTTTAATACGTAATGATAATAACACCAATTAATAATGTTCGTAATAAATTATATGTGCAGATTATTAATTAATAATAAAAATTTTCCGTAAATGTTAAAGTTGCAAAATCTGTAACTTAACTAAAAAATAAAAATCAGCATAATTAATTAATTAAATTATAAATTGACGGCGCTTTNACGTGACTTCCGGTTTGCATCGGAAGTTTATATGTAGGGTTTTCTGCCCCTAATCTTTCCATATCTGGTCTTAAATTTCATTTATCTAACACCGTACTCGAGATTAAGGAAAGACAACGGACGGACGACAGTGGGAATCTATAGGTTACTATTTTTTTTCAAATTGCAATTCAATAAATCTTCTGGTATGATATAACAATTATAATACTGAACGTAATAAAAATTATACAATAATATAGTTAGTATTATAGTATTACTTTAGCAGCACTATGCAGAATTATAAAATTCGAAATTGAATTGTAAAGGTAATCGAAAAAACATCCATTCAACTTTATTTATTTAAGCACTTAATATCAAATGACAGAAAAAGGTGTCGACATCAAACTACAAAGATGAGCAAATGAAAAGTTTGTCACGAGAAGTTTAGCGACATCATGAGTCAAAATTAGAGATGTCTTGTCTTGCCTGTTTAGTGTGCTGATGCTTCTCATAAATAAATAAATCAATCATTCAATATTTGAGTATATAATTCATAATATTGAATAATGACATACACATTATATTCCATTTCCGAGAAGAAAGTATTTATTTCCTTTGAAAAATCAGAATGTTCTAAAAGGGATTTGAAATCCCATCCCTCAAGGCTGTTCTTCTGTAGGATATTATTCTATAACTGTTAGGATCAAGATTGTAAGATTTTAAAATTCGTTGGTCCGGACAAAAATGCAATGTTGAACTTTGTATTCACCCAATAAAATCGACAAAATAACTTGCTCTGACGATCGATACTGTTGACAGTTCATGAACCAACAACAAATAATACTAGTGTTGCAAAATCTGTAACTTAACTAAAAAATAAAAATCAGCATAATTAATTAATTAAATTATAAATTGACGGCGCTTTTATAAAATCTTTTCTCTGTGTATATTTTAAATATTATACATATTTAAGAATAGATATTTATAACTGTCTTTTTTATTATAAATTGTTTGAAGAATTAGCCTAATAGTCTATTGTAAGCGATATTTAAAAATGTTTTTCTTTTAATTTTGTGCTTATATTTTGTTCGGTTTTTATATACAGTATTTTCATTTTTCATGTTTTAAATTATAAAACATTAAGTGCAAATTTGTTTTAATATATGAATGGTCTAACCATTATTTATGAAAAATCGTCTATCAGATAATTTGAATTAACAAAAGGAATTTGCATAATCGATTCAAATAATTTATGAATAGAAAAACGAAATTTCTTTTCTATCTTCACTTATAGTATAATTTATATCTTATATTTTTACAATTTCAGCAAAATGTCCAGCTCCGCCTCACAGTAATGGAGTACCATTCTGATAGAAAACCATCGACAATTGGACACGTATTCGTAGGAACACAATGTACAGGAAAGTCACTCTCTCACTGGAACCAAATGATGTCTTCCTTACGTAAACCGATAGCAATGTGGCATCCTTTACGAAAACAACATAATTAACAAGTATTAAATTAAATTAAATCTAATATTAGCACAGAAGATGCCATTTTGTAAAAGAGATAAAAGAAAAGTATTTTCGTTTATGATCAGCCAAGAAATGTGATAAGACGGTATTCGAATTTGGTTTTATTCGTATTTATTTTGGAAAAAAACTTATCTCTTCTTCTCGGCAATCTTTAATTCTGTCGAACTCGAATCCTTTTTGCTCATTGAAATTTTCAAAATCAATAGGAATTCAGATCGTGCATGAATATCGTGAGTATGTTTGTAAGCTATACAGTGTAATGTATTCTGAGAGATAGTCAAGTATTTATCTATAGAGAGAGATCGACGTTAGAACGCGTTAGAGTATGAAAGTTAAAACAATACGCCGATTATATTAGTTCCACCTTTATTAAAATCCAGTTTAGATCTTAAACATGCATGCTCACTGTTTTTTGTCACGGTTTGGATTTTATGATCGGCGATTTTTCGTGTTATTTTTCTAATTCTAAATATTTATGTATATTTATGTTTAACTCTCGTATATGTTTGTTACTCTATTCGTTTAGTGTACGTAACAGAAGTATTTCAGAGACACATTCTGTGATACAATACTTTCAATAAATAAATAAATTATGATCTTTGAAATTTGTTTCGCATTATTATAATCCGATTTCAATAAAATCATTTTCATTTGTTTTTTTTAAATAAATAACATAATATCTGCAGAATAATCGCTAATATATGTAGCTAACGAAAAATTATTTATTGTGACATAGCCACAATGCCGGGCCGAAATTTTTAATCATATTTTTAATTAATTTAATTTAAAATATATGCTCTCCACCTCAAATTAGTAGTGACTTGTCCCTGTACAGTACATCATACTTTTTCGTTAGCAATAGAGTCGTGCCGGTCATCTATCTAATTCTTTCAGGGGAAAATTTTTGAATTAAAATAGTGTGACTTCCGGTTTGCATCGGAAGTTTATATGTAGGGTTTTCTGCCCCTAATCTTTCCATATCTGGTCTTAAATTTCATTTATCTAACACCGTACTCGAGATTAAGGAAAGACAACGGACGGACGACAGTGGGAATCTATAGGTTACTATTTTTTTTCAAATTGCAACTCAATAAATCTTCTGGTATGATATAACAATTATAATACTGAACGTAATAAAAATTATACAATAATATAGTTAGTATTTTAGTATTATNTAATTATCAATGTTCCATTTATCAATTTGGAAACTAATACATTATATAATAAACTAAAATTTTTAAAAATTATTTAAATTTGAAATTAACAACAGCATAGAAACATTAATCATAATTCAAGGAGACAAGGTATACAGTATTATAAAGCATTGAATACACTGAGTAATTTCTCGTGGCATCTTATTCGGTGAATCGAGCTATGTGATTATTCAGATTCAACTTGTTATCACCGTAGTTTAACATTTATTTAAACTAAATTTAAAATATTTATATAAAAAGTAATAATAATCCAGAACACTAAAGTTCATTTAAACCACAAACATAGACTATCCTAAATGGCGTCTTCACTCGTCCTTATCCACTTGAAAGTGGACAAGTGAAGACGGCATTTTGAATATTCTACGTTCTGGTTCTAATGAATATTTACAAATTTATTGGGCTGCAATTTGAAAAAAATTGTAGACGTATAAATTTGTAATCTGTCTGTCTACTTGTCTGGCCGTTTGTCTGTCTTTCCTTAATCTCGAATACGATATTAGATAAATGAAATTCAATAGCAGATATTGAAAGCTTAGAAGGGACAGGAGGCCCCGATTAACCATACATGAACTTCCAAGGCAAACCGGAAGTCACTCAATTCAAAAATGTCCCCTGAAAGGAAGTAGATAGATGACCAGCACGACTCTATTGCTAACGAAAAAGTATGATGTACAGAGGCAAGACATTATTAATTTGAGGTGGAGAGCATATATTTTAAATTAAATAAATTAAAAATTGCAGCTCGGCATTGTGACGATGTCACAATAAATATTTGCTCGTCTAAATATAAAATATCCTGGCCATCTCCATTCTCAATGGAGAGATGGGAACAATCAAACCGACTTTGTATATAGTTCAACTTATATGTTATATAAAATTCTTCCAATTCTTAAATTTTCCACATGAGAGTTTATTCCTATGCTCTTGTGCATTTAATGAATATATTTCGAATAGGACTATATATAAATGTACTGAATATGTTTATATATATAGTTCTATTCAAAATACATTCATCAAAAGTTATTCTTGGAAATAATTATGTAATATATTTTTAAATATAAAATTTGACTACTGGTTTTGTGAAAAAATTTTAATGTGCATTTAATCTATTTTTTAATTTTAAATCTATGTAGAATTTTAATCTGTGTAGAATTTTTGATAAGTTAGTCGGGATTTTACTGGTATTATGGAATCTGGGTTAATCATGCTCAAATTAGGACGTCTGACGATTCTAATTAGGTTTCTTATACAGAAATCAGTCGTCAGTGCCATTACATAAAATCTGATAAACTTTTGGAATTATCTTTATCACTTATATGAGAATCGTACACTATATTCACAGGTTTGTCATATGCCCTTTTTTGAGGATCTTGTCCTGTAGTTTCTACCGTTTGTCATTTCCTCCAGTCCTAAAAAATTTGAAGATCCTATCTAATACAATTTAACTATTCAATATCTTGCACTATAGACGGCCAAGACGATAAAAGCAAAAGCTTGATATTTTATATATAAATCGATTCGACCCAGGAAATTTTATGAGTGGATCGACACGGATATATTGGAGCCCAACCCCAATTCTTACCATCCATTGCACTCATTGTTAGCTTGGCAGAATCCATGACAGGTTTGTTAAAAGATCCTCTTTGCGCCAAAGCGGAAACTAAAAAACAAAAAAATTCAATATAAAAGCATTAGTTTTTGATATATTTGCTAAACTTCTCGACTACAATAGTATTAAAAAAGAAAAAACTTGAGAAGTTAAAAATCTTACACAAGTTAGCGTAGAAAAATTTAATAATTATCAATGTTCCATTTATCAATTTGGAAACTAATACATTATATAATAAACTAAAATTTTTAAAAATTATTTAAATTTGAAATTAACAACAGCATAGAAACATTAATCATAATTCAAGGAGACAAGGTATACAGTATTATAAAGCATTGAATACACTCAGTAATTTCTCGTGGCATCTTATTCGGTGAATCGAGCTATGTGATTATTCAGATTCAACTTGTTATCACCGTAGTTTAACATTTATTTAAACTAAATTTAAAATATTTATATAAAAAGTAATAATAATCCAGAACACTAAAGTTCATTTAAACCACAAACATAGACTATCCTAAATGGCGTCTTCACTCGTCCTTATCCACTTGAAAGTGGACAAGTGAAGACGGCATTTTGAATATTCTACGTTCTGGTTCTAATGAATATTTACAAATTTATTGGGCTGCAATTTGAAAAAAATTGTAGACGTATAAATTTGTAATCTGTTTGTCTACTTGTCTGTCTTTCCTTAATCTCGAATACGGTATTAGATAAATGAAATTCAATAGCAGATATTGAAAGCTTAGAAGGGACAGGAGGCCCCGATTAACCATACATGAACTTCCAAGGCAAACCGGAAGTCACTCAATTCAAAAATGTCCCCTGAAAGGAAGTAGATAGATGACCAGCACGACTCTATTGCTAACGAAAAAGTATGATGTACAGAGGCAAGACATTATTAATTTGAGGTGGAGAGCATATATTTTAAATTAAATAAATTAAAAATTGCAGCTCGGCATTGTGACGATGTCACAATAAATAATTGCTCGTTTACATATGTACAATATTTATTGATATTTATACGAGTTAACTTATACGATATTAACCTTTCTCGAAAAATTTTAATATTTTCTTGCAACTGCGATAAAAGGAATGAAAAACTTTTAAGTTTTTATTATATGAAATATTGTGAAAACTGCCAAGCTTATTTCACATTGAAAANCACTTCCCCCGTGGGGAAAAATTTTTCGAAAAATTTTTTCTTAGTGTACATTTTCTTGACGTACCCTATTAAAACGCAATCAAAAACGCAAAAACCCGCATCTAAAATAGTATAAATAGAAGCAGAGTTCTTTACGGACTTTTTATATGTCATGACAGAAAAAATCTTGTATCTTTTTTCTGTCATGACATATAACTTTACATAGTTAAAGTTTCCTATTCAACGCTGTCTGGAGAGATGTGTAGCAGTGCAAACGCAACCAAATTTTGAATGCTCATGTGTTTCAGAAAAGTCAGAAGAAATTCCTGCGGGAAAAATTTAGTTTCAAACTCACCATAATAGGACTTGTGGCTCTGTCTGCGGTAAAAACACGTGTTATATTGCGATTTCTATGTATAAAACTGGCCACAATATATAGATTTCCATTCATGTTATCTCGCTCTTGTGCACTTCCATAAATACTAGGAGTAATAAAACGTTTTAAAATCAATACGCGTTTCAATAAATTGCTTTATTGTTTTCCTCAATTGTCATGTTTTTTGCCGCTTGCTCTTAAAGTATAAATTACCTACGTATATAGCGTATACTTAACAACTACAGACAGAACTACAGTATAGGCTATTATAGATTTATATTACATTTTTCATATTAAAATGTTTTACTCTTGTAAAAATATATTGCTTAATTAATTTAAAGCAAGCTTAAATATTTTTCTAAAATGTTCTTGCAGTTTTCAAAACTTTCTTTTCGGTTTAATTTCTCTAGTCTGATTTAAGTTTTTATACAAACTATAAACTGTATTATCTCACTTGGAAAAGAATTGTTTAATTTTAATATATTCAATTTTTATCTGAAACTTTATTAAAAATCGTAATTTCCACTATCTTCCGTCTGTCATTTCTTAATATTGAGAACGGTATTAGATAGATGAAATTCAAGACAGATATGGAAATCTCATGGGTAGGAGGCACCGATTAACTATATATAAACTTCCGATTAAAATCCGAAGGCATGTTATTTCAATTCAAAAATTTTCCTCTGAAAGGAGTTAGATGACAGCACGACTCTAATGTTAACGGAAAAGTACAATATACAGGAGCAAAACACTTCAGTACCAATTTGAGATGGAGGGCATATATTTTAAATTAAATAAATTAAAAATTGCAGCCCGGCATTGTGACGATATCACAATAAATATTTGCTCGTCTAAATATAAAATATCCTGATTACGATTTAATTTGCTTATAATAATAATACTATTATGTTGCTTATGTTTACAATTATACGAAGCGAATTTACTCCTCTTAAATGAAATTAAACTTTTATAAATAAGCCTGTAGTATTTTTATGTATTTTTTTTTGTTTTAGTATTAATCGGAGCGTACCATTATTTAAAAATAAGAATTAGTCTTACGTTAGAAGATTTCGATTTACATATATTGAGTTCTTTCGGTTACTATCAGTTGTACGCATATGCAAGTGAAAATAAATGCCTGAAAGAAAGTCACAATTGTTACGAAATATATCCGTGTCAAGGGCAAGCAAATTACAGGTGTAAATAAATGTATATAAAAAGAGAATGTTTTTCTTTGTTTGTTTCTTAC